TATGAACTTCCAGCATATTATGCTGGACCGATATATTATGCTGGAACTCCAGTATATTATGCTGGAATATTTTCGAATTTTGAACAGTATTTTCGTTCCGATTTATTTTTACATAAAAAGTGACTAAATTTCGATTACTTTTGAAACTGTGACTATTTTTCAATTACCACTTATAAATCTGGCTATTTTTGAATTTCTCCCTTTGAATAGGGAGAGAGCCAGCCGCTAAGTTATGGTCTTCAAAGCTGGGTCTGATCCATTACTAGTCCGACCCGGCCCATTTTCAGGTCTCTTGAAATTTTTATACTGAAAATAAGCAGCTCCAGTACAAAGCAAAGCTATTTCGAGAGAGATTAACAGCGACGATAATGAACCAGGCAGTGCAGAAGAACACTTTGTATGTCGGTAATCCCTCAATCACAACAACCCCATCTGTTTATTTGTTGTTTTCTTGTTGATTCTTGAATAATTTGTGGTATCTGCTGTGTGTGTGACAGGTGGATTGGCAGAGGAGGTAAACGAGGGAATACTGCACGCAGCATTCATACCCTTTGGAGATATTAAGGATGTGAAGACTCCATTGGATATGGCTACCCAAAAGCACCGTTCTTTCGGCTTTGTAACCTTCCTTGAGAGAGAGGATGCATCCGCCGCCATGGATAATATGGATGGGGCTGAGCTTTATGGTCGTGTCCTTACTGTAAACTATGCTCTCCCTGAGAAAATCAAGGGTGGTGAACAGGGTTGGGCCGCTCAGCCTAGTAAGTTCCACCTCTTCTATTCCCCAAGAAAAAGTAAAAAAGGATTTTTTTTTTTTTACAGCTTTTGGTTATCCTTGTACTGCATATTGGGATGAGGAAAAATTGTTCTTTTAATGTGATCTTTGACAATCCTCACCTAATGAGCGGTCTTTTGAGGTTGAATTAGGCCTAAGTTTCATTTGGTATCACATATGTTTTCATTTTATAGGATGATGTTTGATTGAAATGGGATCGGATGTTAATTTCACTTGTTTTATTATATTAGTGATAATATAAGAAAATATCCTTTTTGTTCCCGGGTTTCGGTCTAGCAATAAGAGCCTAGATAGTGATGTGTGCCTTAGGCGCACGTCAACGTTAGAACCCTACTGCAGACAAAAAGCCATGTATTAAAGTGGAGAGGGTAGAGGAGTGGGTCTATTATCCACCAAGTTTCAAACTATGCTCAACTGACCCTCGTGACTTCTTGGTTATGAAAAAAAGGGCTTCATGTTGTTCTTGTTCTTATTACTTTTACCCTGCTATTGCTCATAGCCTCATGGTTATTTGCTTCTATGATAGAACTGGAATTGCGATAGCCAATATAAAGAAATGTGGTTCTCCAAATATTTTACCAGGTTTCTTGGTGGTTATGGAGTTTTATTGATTAGAGTTGAACGGATACACGGTATTCATATAGTTGACCTCAATTAATGTAGAATTGAGGAGTAGTTGATTGATTTGCTGATACAGTTGAACAACTTGTTATGTTCATAACAGGGGATAGTCTGTTTCTCTTTTCTTTATGTTTTTGTTCTTTTCTGATGTATTAAGCCGAGTTAAAAAGCAAGGCACATCCCATGACTTCAAAGTAATCCTTCTAACCATCTATAGATTGAGAAGTATCTGCATTTATGCGCAATTTTTTTTTAAAAAAAAATGGAAAACTGGGTCTCTTTATTCCATACTACATTCTCAATGCCAGACGAGCTTCTCTGTTTCCCTCTTAGCTCAATATTCACATAGGTTGCTTATCTCTGCAGCTATACTTTCCCTGTCTTATGCACATGGTTTTGTAATTCAATATATGGAGAACATTGTTTTCTTCATTCTTAAAGGGTACTGTTCCTGGTAAATTTTAATCTTAATGATCATTTTAGCAGAAGGTATAGTGTGAATTTGGATGACAACTTTTGTGTTTCCTACTCGACTCAACTTTGTCCCATAAAGCTTTTCGGAAGAAATGACAAAATGAAGAACAAGTAGCTAAAGAACCAAACAGCATGTTTTTAAATATTTCTTCTTATTCTGTTTTTAGTTAGTGATTGAAGTTCACTAAATTTTTCCTGCCCTATTTCCCTGCTATGATACCATAGAGAAAGGTGGCTTTCTATGTTGATATTGTAATTCGTTTGTATGAAAACAACTGTCTTTCTTCAAGGTCTATATTATTTATTACCAGTGCCATTTGGAGAAGTCTTAAACCTGCTATATGTATTAATCAAGCATTTTGTTATTTTTTTTTTAATTAATTGTTGTATCCTAACTAGCTTGCACACACTTCGACTAATCCATGAGTACTTGCTAACTTTTAACGACATAGTTATCTAGGAACTCTGTCTACCAAGGCTTAGATAAATGGAAAGAAATCACCTAGCGCTTTTTGCTTCTATTGCAATTTGAACCCTGGTCTCTCATGATCTATTTCAGCTTTATTGACTGCTAGACTACACCTTGATTAATCAAGCAATTTTTCTTTCCTTTTCCAATTTCATGGTATGCGGTTTAAGCATATAGGTCTCCGCTTCTGATTTGTAGAAGAATCCAAGTACATGAAAAGATTAGCACTGTACCTGCCAAAGATCCTCAGTTTTAGCATTTTGTGAACCTATTCTACTAGTCCGCACTCCTGTATAGGAAAGAAAAAAGTTCCGCAAAAACCAAATTACATGCTTGTGCTATTTTCTTAGGAAAAACCTTGTCTACCACTACTTAGCCTAACATAGGTATTTCCTCTCAAAACAAAGGTGACATTAGTGTTGGATAATATGGGTTGGGTTCTGAAATTGCGGAGGCAACATGTTGCTGGGATGTTAACAATTTTCAGCTTTTATGTCGAGTCATGTCCCTATATGTGTGGATTCTGATTTTTCAGCAAATATATTTAACTATATGCAAAAATATAATGACGCGACTTTAGATTACAAGAGGAAAGGATATGAAATAACATTACATTGAGGAGAATTTTTACTCTTTCTAAAATGCTTGTCTACATAGATATTCGTTTGGGAAAATATCCACCAAGTAACTTTTGGCATTTCAAAAAAGCAGCTAGCTTGAAATTCAAAGCTTTTCATTAACAGTCCATGTAATTTAGGATAAACTAAGAAACATTCTTCAATAGGACCCATGGTTCAAGTCCTATATCCTCCTAGATGAAGCATTGGGTGTGCTAGATGGTTTTAGAATAGAAATTTACATCATGTTTGGGGTCTTGTCAATAAAGTAACTGCTCTCAAATTTAAATCCAAGGCCCTTTCTTGAGTACTGTGCTATTCGGGCAAATTTTGATCTTTCTAACAGTTTAAGACATGCAAACAAAGGTGTAATAATTTGCTTTATAACTAACAGACGCTGTTATTTGAGCTCGTTTAGTTCCCTCCATATACAATAAGCTGCAAGCAAATTCTTGTTGTGCACCTTTGAAGTTGTTTGTCAATTCACTCATCAAAAAATGATCTCAGTTGCTGAGTTTAAACATAGCATTTGATTTCTGCTTCCATATGTTTGTTGGTCGGTGTTAATAGTTAAATGAATGATAGCTTGGCGTTTTTTTTCTCAAACTCTGCTTTTTTTAGACGATTTTGTTTGGAGAGCGTTCATCTCTAGAACTGCTCTTTTGTTAGCTTTAGCTTCTCAGCGATATGCATGATGTTTAATCGTGTGAATGTGCTCTTTGTATCATTGTTTGATTAATGAGAAGTGTTCCATAAGCCAGTTGAATTTGGAGTGTAGTGTGTTGTTCTGTAATCTCTATGCTGACAGTCTCGTATTTCCCTTAACTCAGTTTGGGCGGATGCTGACACATGGTTCGAGAGACAACAGCAAGAAGAAGAAATGAAGCGCCTTCAGGAAGAGCAGAGGGCTGCAATGCAGGCTGCAGAGGAATTACATAGGAAAAAGATGGCTGAAGAGAGGGATGGGGAAAAGGATGAAGAAACAAATAAGCAAGACGACCCTATGGCAATGGCTGAAGTCGAGGTTTTAAAACAAAATGCTAGTTCTTAGTCATTCTGATGGTTTAGCAGTCTTTTTTCAGACTTGTGTGGCGTATTTTAGGAATTTTAGTAACTCAGTTTGATTAAACAATTCTGCTGCGTTGATGAGTAATTTGCTCTTTTTCTTACTTGACTTGTATCTTATTGTCTGACACAGTTTTAGCTGTCCTTATGCTACTAACTTTACCTTCCATATTTCGGTATGGAGAATTGCAGCCTCAATCGCAATCAGCATAAATGTTTGAACCTGACTGATTTGGAATTGAAGCATTAATTGATCGGCAATTGAGTTTTGTATAATTGAGTCACTCTAACAATGCCACTAACTGCATATATGCTGATGGAGAATTCTGACTTAGTTTCAACTTTCATGTATTTGCTATATATAATGTTTCTGCATCTCACATTAACTAATGCTGCTGGAACTTAGTTCTCAGGGAAAAGAAGATAGAGAAGAAAGTAAATTTTCCATTTTCCTCCGGTATGCTGGCAGCAATAGAGTCTGAACTTTTACCAAACTGTGAATTAATGCCAGTTCAAGCACTGAGACTTGGAAAAAGTTAATTGGTTCTTATGGCAGTCTCTAGGAAATGCGTAGGGGTGCTTGTAGATCATATATTACATGCACGGATTCAAGCCGTAGAAATAGCATCTGGCATAAATGCAGGATAAGGCTGTGTACAGTAGACCCTTATGGTCCGGTCCTTCTCCGGACCCTGCGCATGGAGTTAACTTGTTGATCATTTGTTTCTGGAAAATAATTGGAAATCTTGCGCTTTATAATAATCTCTTTTTTTCAATCTAAAATCTTGTATACAAATTAGTATACAATTAAAATCTTCTAATAATTCAAAGTAGACCAGTTGAAACTCTTGTTTTGGAAATGATTCTTTTTTGGCATCACCTGCTGTAGTTATAGCTGCTTGTAGACCAATTTCAAAGTTTGACCCGAGCATAGCCTTGTATTAAATGCATTCACTACTTCGTTTGAAATATTTTTATTAGCTTTCAGCACTAAAGGTATGCATTTACTTTGATGAGGTACATTGTAGTCATCTGTGTTGGCACCAAAATTGCTGATGTTTTCCCCAATAAAAAGACAACCACATTTCCGAAACCCCACATCAGAAGAGGAGACTGTAGGTGGGAGATACTTGATACATCACACAAAATTAATAACCTTTGTAACGAGGAAAGGCATAAAAAATTGGCAGTAAGGAAAGATGAATTGAGGAAACCTGACAAAAGATTAGAATGTACTAAGTTCCACATGCCTTCTGCAACATACAGCGATGCGTTTCTGGCATGGAAAACCTGGTCCTACTCTGAAAATTTTGTGCCATCTAGTTTTGAGGCAGCTGCCTTATCCAGATACCACACTAATTTCCCTTTAGTTGGCTGGACCATCTTTGCAGGCGATGACAACGGACAGTCAGGCCCGACATCATCAATTGCCAAATGTGCAGCCTCTGCTTTGCTGCTTCCAGTAACAACCACAGCCACATTGGAGGCAGAGTTAATCACTGGCAAAGTGAAAGTAATCCTCTCCGGAGGGGGCTTGGGCGAGTCGGTTAAAAAGGTCACCCATTCTGCTTTCTCGTCAAGTATAGAGTGATCAGGGAATAGAGATGCAATGTGGCCGTCAGGGCCCATCCCAAGAAGGATGAGGTCAAACTTGGGGCAGTCGCTAATGTCAGAAACGCTGATTACACGAGTCCTCACAAGCTGTCTAATGACAAACTCATAGTCTTCAGCAGCTTTCTCAGCTGACACCGTGTCGTTAATAGAATGTACATGGCTTGGAACAATAGGGACCTGAAAGGTGGAAGCACACCATAACTGAGAGACACAAAGCCAGACTTAAACAACTAATATCAGTACCATAAACCAAATTTCTCTTGCCCTTATAACTGCCCAAACAGTTCATTAGGAATTTCAGTTGTATTAGGGGTGTAAAGGGCGATTGAAAACTGTCCATGACGCACTAGGTGTTTTGTGCTGCAAGGGAGGCAGAGATTGAAATAAAGTCTTCGCCATTTAAGTGGTCAAGCATTATGTAATTCTGTGTCTGTAGCATTATGTTAGGGCAGTCTCATGTTTAATGCTTCTCCACAACTAGCAGCTTACTTCAAAGTTCTCAACTTTGCAAGAATGACAGCACGATAAGTCTACAGGATATTAGTAACTGACAGAAGAGACGGGCAGGCTTGAAAAGTATACCAAGACACTGGAGATAATAGGCTATGATGTTTCCTGCGCTTAAAAGCAGTCAATCAATTACAATCAATCAATCAGCTATATCTCAATCAACAGATTAGCAGTTCTAGTAAAGGAAGATTCTAAACGTTACAGAAAATCGTTACATCAGCCTTGAAGCAGGAAACAATCATTTTTTAATTTCTCTAACCAGATATCTTCAGAGAAATGTTATCTGTTACTGACTAACCAAGTAGGAACAGGAAGAAAGATAAACTGTTTGAACTGCTTCAAGTGGCACTTCCATCTATCTTTGGTTTACTAGCATTAGAAAAATGGAGTTCGGCAACCAGGTGGATGGTCTTAATATGATCTTCAGTGCTTTTACCTCTTTGGGTTCCTGAGGATCTGTGGTAAGCAACTAGTTTCTCAATTTTTAAAGATTTCGATGCCAACCGAGGATGACCATGACCCCATGTTCACAATTTAATGCATCTCATATCATAAAACGAGTTAAGCCTGATAACCATCCCCAGTTGGCTAGCTGCATTCAGTTCAAGAACACCATTTCAAAGGATAAGAAAAACACCATGGCTTGGAGGATTTCCTGCATTTTCAAGATGCATCATATGTGGACAATTTTAATATAACTAATTCCTCCATTTGGAACTGGAAGGTGTGATCTATCGGTTTCTAAAATTGAAAGATTGAGATCTGGCTATAGTAAACTCAATCATCCAAAAAAAAAAGAAAATTCTCAGACGAGATAACACAACAATCATGAATCACAATCCATAAACTACTGTTGAGGCTCACATCATTAATTCCATAAAGGGTAAATCACCATATTTTATCCAGAATAAGTTGACGTTGAGAAGTTTACCTTGGATAAAAATCCATCCTTGGCTAGCTTGTAGTTACTATCAACATGATTCTTTGCCACCACACGTTCATCCACCCAAAATATATACCACTTGGCCCAATCAACAGTTTTGCTATAAGGGGCTTCACATAATTTTCTGCTTCCCCAGGATTTCAAACAAAATTTACTACCTTATAGTTATAGAGAAGACAAAAGAATAAATGTAAGCAGATAGAGAATGCACTTAAATACCTCATTAAGCTGATGAGAGATCCACCGGATAACGCAATGGCAAATACTCCCCTCTCTTTCACAGAAGCTTCTGATAGTTCTGAAATATAGTCTGCCAGATCAGCGCTTAGTTCATCTAAATACTCATAAATCCTCACCTCTTTTCCATTCTCTTTAGCTCCAGAAAGAGCCATCCTTATCTACTGCACAAATCACAACATACAAGAAGTGAACTGCAGGGAACATATTCTCTCTGATTCGTCTGGCGAATAAAAACAAACAAACAATTACGCCTCAATCCCAAGCGGTGTTGACTATATGAATCTTCAGAGTCGATGTTGCTCCATTTATTCACAATCCAACAGTAAAAACCAAAATTCTCTAGTACCAAAAGTTCTCTACATTTCTGCTGCATATAAATCCACTGGACTGATAAATACATGCATATCAATTCCCTCAATGCTCCTAATGAAGTCAAAATACAGATTTACTAATTCTACGATTTCAAGGAAAATTACAGCCTTCTTATTTTTTGATCAATTCTTTATTCTTCTTGAAATCTCTGAGAAAGAATTCATCACTAAAACAAAATGACAATTCAGTAAAAATTTACATGTAACCCCTCCCCCACCTCTAAATTACGTAATTACAACAATATCGCTGATTTTCAACATTCCAACAACAACACTAACCATACCTCAAACCCAAACTAGTAGGTTTTGCTATATGAATCCTCAAAACTAAAACGCTACTAGTCAAATCCTAAATTTTTCGAAAACTAAAAATAATGACAACTGTCAGTAATATCAAAAAGTGGTAATACTGGATTCAGAATTCTTGAAATATAACAATCAAACAAGCAGTGCATGTAAAATAACCAAAAGGGAAAAGAAAATAAGTTGAAGAAGTACTTGAAAACCTTGAATCAAGTACATGCAAGTCGAGAGAAGTTTCACAAACATCATTACAAACAAGACCCAGATCAGAAAAAAATTCAGTTGTTTCACCCTTTTTCATCAATAAACTTGGGGTCACAAAGCCCAGCAAGTAAACAGAGTGCAAAAAAGAACAGATTAAAAAAGAAATCTTGGAATCATATATCCATACAAATATACAATATTATATTTCTGCAACCAGAACCACTGAAACCAAAACAGAGAGGGACAGAGTGTCTTACAGAGATGAGAATGCAGAGAAAAGGGAAAAGGGAAAATGGAAAATGGGTATCAGCAATTTCAGATTTTCAGTACAGTAATAAATATGTATAGACAAACACACACACACACACAAATACCATATGGCATAATAAGGCATAAGCTAATAATATGTGACATATTTTCCTGAATATAAATATGAGTTAGCAATGACATACACAGGAGAATTTACTTTCTGGGGTTCCACGTGCATCCAATAATCACGTCAAAAAACTCTCTCCAAAGTAAGCGGATGATTATCTACTTCTGAATAACCAAATAGGATAAATAAGGAAATAAATTGTAGTAAAAGAAATTGATTTTTTTCCCTAGATCTTCTGCTGAATTATCTCGCGATTGATTAATTAATTAATTTAAATTTATGTCTACAAAGAAACAAAGATCAAGGTACCAGTATTAATGAGATATATCATGTTTTGGACTTTTGGTGACGGTACTGACTTAATAACACTTGTTCAAGTATATCAATTTGACAATTGAATTGCACCATATTTATTTGAATATTTTAATCTAGGTGATGATTATCTTCCTTTAGCTTCTCTTTCCATCTTTAGCTTTATTATGTGTTTTTTTAATCCTTATCTGGCTGTCTCCACATAACCAGCCTACTTGTCGCTTTTTACAAGTCACGAAAATGTACCTTACAATTTACATTACATGTCAAATCCGTATTCTTGAAACCTCAAAGTAAAAAACTGAGGAAATGTAGCTTTATGGTCATTTACTATGTTAAAATTAACGGAAAAGGGCCAAAAATATCCTTAAACTATTTGAAATAACTCAAAAATACCCTTTATTTATTTTTGGTACCAAATATATCCATGCCGTCTATATTTTGGACCACAAATGCCCTTAAGCTGTTAGTCTTGTCTTTGAAGGTGACATGACAATCCAACGGAGTTAGATTTACTTACATGGCCATCCACCTAAGCAATCCAACATAGCAAAATTATTTTTTCGAAAAAATTATTTTTCAGGAATTTTAAAAAAAATATAAAATCAACACTTATTCCGAAAAAAGTAAAAAAAATTATGAAAAAATTATTTTCCGAAAAAATAATTTTCAGGAAAAATTATTTATTTCAGAAATTTTTATTAAAATACAAAATCAACACTTATTCCGAAAAAAGTAAAAAAAATTATGAAAAAATTATTTTCCGAAAAAATAATTTTCAGGAAAAATTATTTATTTCAGAAATTTTTATTAAAATACAAAATCAACACTTATTCCGAAAAAAGTAAAAAAAATTTCTGTTCAAATTAATTACGTCGGAGTCTCAAATTAGCTTGATCTGCTATATAAATCCGTTCTAGCTAGCTATTAGTAAGGTCGGTTATATAAATCCTATGTGTATTTTCTGCTCTTAATTGCATTCATTTCATTCCAATTAGAAATAACAATTCTTAAAGCGTAATAAGAGTTTCTGAACTACCCATACACGGAAAGGTAAATCTCTTACTAGAGTATACGTTGAACCTGATAAAAGTGTAATAAGAGCTTTTAAATCTTAATCACAATAAAATAAATGGTGTCGCCTACACGAACTCTTTTTCGGATTTTTTTTTTACTTTTTTCGGAATAAGTGTTGATTTTGTATTTTTTTAAAAAAAATTATTTTTCTAGATTTCTTTTTACTTTTTTTCGGAATAAATATTGATTTTGTATTTTAAAAACATTTCCGGAAAAATAATTTTTTCGAAAAAATAATTTTGTCATGTTGGATTGCTTAGGTGGATGGCCATGTAAGTAAATCTAACCCAGTTGGACTGCCATGTCATCTTCAATGACAAGACTAACAGTTTAAGGGCATTTGTGGTCCAAAATATAGACGGCAGGGATATTTTTGGTACCAAAAACAAACGGAGGGCATTTTTGAGCTATTTCAGATAGTTCAAGGGCATTTTTGGTCCTTATCCGTGTATAAAATCAATAACAACAATAATATACCCAGTATAATCTTACATGGTGGATTTGGGGAGGGTAGCGTGTATGCAGACATTACCCCTACCTTGTGGACATAAAGATATTGTTTGCAATACATCCCCAACTCAAAAAAGTATAAGCACCACATTAATGAAAAGAAAAATAAGAATGGACAACACCGAGAAGCCATGTAAAAGTAGTATAAATAACAAAAAGATAGTAAGATGACCAAAATGCAACAAACAATAAGTAGTCATAGAAACCTAATACCAACAGAATACGAGAGTGCGTACTAATACTACCGATATGAACAATCTAGAATACCTAACCTACAACCCTAATTCTCGACATCCACGCCTTCCTATCAAGGGTCATGTTCTCGGTCAGTTGCAGCTGCGACATGTCTTGCCTAATCACTCTCCCCAATTATTATTTTGCCTACCCCTACCTCTCCTTAGGCCCTCCAATGTCAACCCTTCACCTCCTTACCGAGGCGTCTATACTTCTCCTCCTCACATGTCCCAACCATTTAAGTCTCGCTTCCCGCATCTTGTCTCAGTAGAGGCCACATCCACCTTGTCCCGAATAACTTCATTCATAATCCTATCTAGCCCGCACATCCACCTCAACATTCTCATCTCTGCTGCCTTCATCTTCTGACCATAGGAGTTCTTTACTGCCCAACACTCAGCCACATATAACATAGTCGGTCTGACCATCGCGCTCTATAGAACATACCTTTAAGTTTTGGTGGCACCTTCTTGTCACACAAAATACCAGAAGCAAGTCTCCATTTCATCCATCCCACCCCAATACGATGTGTGACATCTTAATCAATCTCACCACCTCCCTGTATAATAGACTCAAGGTACTTAAAATTTCCTCTCGTAGGGGTGACTTGTGAATCCAGCCTCACCTCTCCTTCCACACCTTGAGTCACACCATTGAACTTACACTCCAACTATTTTGTCTTGGTCCTGCTCAACTTGAAACCTTTAGACTCTAGGGTCTGCCTCCATACCTCTAACCTCGCGTTAACATTGCCTCGTGTCTCGTCAATCAAAATAATTCCATCTGCTAATAACATGTACCACGACACCTCCCCTTGGATGTGGCGCGTCAGTACATCCATCGCCAGGGCAAAGGTCTGAGTGCCAACCCCTTTTGCAACCCCATCATGATCAAAAATTGGTCTGAGTCCCCTCTCACAGTCCTCACCCGAGTCTTTGCTCTATCATACATGTCCTGAATCGCCCAAATGCAACCCCATTTACAATGTTGAAATTAAAAAAATATCTTTGTAGATCTTTTATGCGTAAAAGATAGATCTCTTATGTGTAAAAGCAAATTTTCTATGTGTAAAAAAAGAGATAGAGTCATAAAACTAAAAATAAGTTTATAATGACCCACAAAACTATTTGACCTGGTTCGCGACTTAACATGACTTAATGTTTTTAGGTCAAACTTTATATATAGAGTTGAATATATATTAAAAAAATATAAATAAAGTTAGATATACATTTCAGAACTCAATCTTCACTTAAGAAAGTATCTAAATTCTGGATTTGTTACTGCCCCTCCCCCTTCCTTTATTAATATTATTATTATTGTTATTATTAGAAGCATAATGTAGAGTAGTCCAAAAACTTGATTGGCTTTCTTGTTAGGAGTCCTGATAGTAACAGGCATTTGTAGTTTGGTCATAACATTGTATTTGCTAAATGAATCACAGAACCGGGTATCAAACAAATCATCTACGTTTTTAAATAATTTTAGATGCTTTTCTATAATGGTTTTGAATCTTTTGATACTTAGGTTTGTGCAATTCACTTTTTTTGAAGTCCTTTGAAAAATTAGGTATAAACTTGTATTCTGGTTTTCCTTTACGTGCTTCATTATATGACCGTAAAATAAAGAACGAAGTATGTCATTTCAATGCATTATGGCATTTTCATTTTCTACAAGAACCAAATATTATGTCACCTTTCTTAGTGTTTGTATAAAAGTAATCATGTTACCCATTATTTTCTTCCATTCCTCCGACCTCCGCCCGGGACAGACCTAGGAGCACAATAGGTTTATCGAATCCATTCCCAAAAAATTATACTATATATATAAATATAAAATTATTTTTATGTGTATATAATAGATGTTAAATACCTTAAATACAGCCGAAAAGCTTTTCGCGTATTTATTTATTTATAGTTTTAATCTCCTCAATAAATTAAAATGTTGATCCCATCACTGCAAGCTCCACCACTGAAAATTAAAAAATAAAGAAAGAAAGGTGAAATGATGAATATATCAAAGGGGTTTGAAATCTAAAGCCATCATTTTCAAACAACAGTGGAAAATTGGAGCTCAAAAGTAAAAGATATGTAGAGAGCTCCAAACAAATGAAAACCCCACGTCATGACATATCAACACTTCCTCTACCCCAGTTTCAGGAATCTAACATTAATTTATTTTTTTATTTTTTTTTATGATGGAGACGTTAGACTTTACTCCATTTGGGAAAAAAAGCATGAGGCATGACCAATATATTTGGATTTTGACATTTTCCCTATTTGATTCTGATTATGGCAAAATATAATTATATTTGTACACCTCATGTTCTAAACCTTTGCATAATTCGAACAAGTTGCCATTTGATTCTCTTAGGATTGCAGTTAAAGGATTAAAAAGGTGTCTGTTTTGCAAAAAATATAATGCTTTTTACTAATTTCCCCTTTGCAAGTTCTCTTCCATGATTTCATGTGAAGAATTTTTAAGTTTTTGGTTTTTGCTTTGTAATCTTCCTTTCTTGCAATTACAAGTCTCAAGGAACCATTGAATTATGTTTTAATTTTTGAACTTCTCTGATGGTCCATATTGAGGTAATTGGAACATAAATATCACTTGACATTTATTTATTAATTACAAAAATAAGGTACTAAATTACCCTTACTTGATTTTGATCCAACTGATTTCTATTGGTTGTTCCTGTAAGAATTTAGCAAACTTCACATTGACCATTTAGACTTTTAGGTTGGGAATATAATGCATCCTTTATTTTACTGATCCGAAGGTCAACGGTGAAAATAAGATAATTATTGTCAGAGCTTCAAAAGATAAATGAAAAATAAAAAATAACCTTGACTTAGTACTGGTTTATAACAATTCTTTTCCCAACAACGAAATTTAT